AACTGTTGTTGTGTAACAAAGCATAATTCTAAAACGTTGAAATGAGAAGAAACAGCTTTTCAAAGTCTTGTGGATCCCGGTGGATTCTGAAAGTATATGCTTGTAAAAGTGTATTTCAACTGTTAGTCTTGATTCTTATCGCAACGTTAGATCTATACTATATACATCGTTTTGAAATTCTTGGAATTTACACCAATCAGATTTCGAGATACGCATTCGAGCATTCTAGAATTGATCTGCAAAATCAAACTGATTCCTGACTGTAATAATAATTGTCGATTTAGCACATGTCACGTGAAATTAATATTAACAAACTTCCACTGGTTTTAGGCAGAATCACAATCTTGCCAGGATGACCTCTCAGAAACAACTCGTTGGAAAAGAATTTAAAGATTCCCTTGATGAACTTCTTCAAGGCCTTGATGTGATCGAAGAAAACGGAAACAGAGTATTACAGAAAATGTATTAAAAAGATAAACTTGTATAGTTCGTTAGATGTTCTATGTACTTATGAAACATATTTTTAGAGAAAATTCTTTGTCAATCTCATACCCACTTGCAGCAGCAATAGGTATTCTATTTCACTACTTCAACGACTTTCATAACCTTCTACTGACTAATTCAAATCAATTCCCTCGTGAAACTTCCTTTTAGCTGACCTGAACACTCTGTTAACGTTGTTGCGAACATTTGGTTCTCAAGCCACACAAGTTGGTGCAGCCAGCCTATCCCATGCGTCGTCTTTTACACAAGAGTACACAACTAATACTCTAGCCACCTTTACAAAGGTAAAGGATAAGTCATCTGCCACGTTATTTAATAAAAAGGAGCAAATACGCGCAAACGCACAAGCAGCTTGGATGGCTGTCCGTACAGAGCTGAACACAAGAGAGGGCGACTAAAGCTCAATAATCGATTGTATTCCATCGCATTTTATTATATTAATGAAAGAAGATTGTATACGACGTCATTACGAATAGCGAATTAATTTAGTAAATGAAAGTAGCCTCGTTGAACAGTTTGCCTGTTACAATTATCGGAGGTTTATCGCCAATAATTACTTCTGCTGTTGCCTCGTTGTACCATTGATAAATATATGGCTTAGCCACCATAGCTAAATATAAAAAGGAACAAGTTTAATTCTCCACGTTAATTAAGAAATTAGCGGTTACAGCTTTTGCGCTCTCGCTACGTACCTTGCACAAGTTTTTTTATGACGTAAGGAATCTCGTTGAGTACATCGATTTTGTCCATGAGTGTTTGTGGCCTAATTTTCAAATTTACTTTGAATGCCTCTTCAGATTCTAACGCCTTTCCATTCCATGTATAACTAATCTCCCGAGGAATACGGTATCCAGTTTCCTCGTCCAGCTCAGTCTCTAGGAATTCTACTGCATTCTTCACCGAAACTCCCACCAATTTATCATTGACAACTAGGCTGCCCTGATTAACTTTAACACTTCCATAAGCCGGTGTAGTTTCAAACTCCAACATCGATAAAGCTATTTCATCCGAATGAAAATCAACAAAGTTCCAGCGAGTGGCAATTAGATGCGGTCTCATTCCTTGCAATGCATGCACGAATAGACCCACACCGTTCAAGTCAAAGTGCTTTCCATTAATAAAAACATTTCCCGATACCTTCCCTTTAGGCCAGAATTTGTGCTCGACAAACCCTGTTGACTTATCGCTGCCAAAGAATGTCTTGCCCTCACCAATTTTGAAGCCACGGTCGACTCGCTCAAACTCGAATGATATAAGTAGTTCATTGGTATGTACAAGAGAAACAGTATATTTAGTACATTCAGGGTTGAGTTCGATTTTCATTCCATCAGTAGTAGCTGATCGGCGATCGGACGAAAGCTTAAAGTTGGACATGTTGCCCAACTTGAAAGCGTTGATGCCATCACCAAAAAATCGGGCGCTAAATTGAATCGTGGGATACCAACTGCACAGCATACAAGTTGTTAACTACACCAAATGGATAGTTTGTAAACGTTTCATGTTTACTACTTAGCTTACCCAATGTTTGAATGGAGCATTTGCACGAAACAAAAATGCCCACTGTCAGTGCACATGTAGAAAGTTTGTGTCTCGGTAGCGGAGCCAGATGCCAACGTCCACTCGAGATCTCGAGCCGTCACATCAGAATATAGCTCGTTTGTCAGTTCACCGGCAACATGTAAACTAGGTGCAGTCGCGGCGGCCATGTTTAAATAATAATGAAACAGAGTTGGAAATCTGGAAGAGAGAATCTTGGCATAAACGTAGAATATACAAAGATCAAAACAAATTTTTTAGACAATACCTCTCTAAAGAGTGTGGAACAGAGATGCGTTGCTGAAAATGAACAAGCGTCAAGTCATTTTGTTGTCCCGGAATGAGCAGATATAAATATATTTCGTATTTGCTTAAATCGATTGGTGAGCTGAAATCTTCACATGACTTTAAATATTTTTTAGCCGCGGAAGTTCATCTGCTACTTATTATTGTTATTATGACTATTTCGTATGATAACAAAATAATTTTAGCGCCCATGGTACGTCAAAAAACTGTTTTTTGTGAAAATTCAAAGAATATTATAGATTGTTGTGTAATCTTTTAGGTGCGTGTGGGAACTCTGCCAATGAGGCTGTTGGCACTGGAGTTTGGTGCAGGTATTAATAGTAGTCATGGAGACATGAAGGAGTAGTATCCCCTGATAACGTTTTCCTCTCTTATAGACTTAGTATACTCTCCTGAGATTGTTGACAAGCGCATAATTGCCTCCGAACGTCGCGTCAATAGTAAGAAGTTATTTTGCTGGTTCATATATTGTACCTGTTCTGGACGTAAACATTTGTCACAATTTATGGGTTAAATGAATTGTATTTTTGCAGAGACAACCGGAATAATCGAATATATCGATGAGAAGAATTCTATTAATTTTAGAACACATCCTTCTGAGAAGTGTCGACTGATTTTCCAGATTGGTACATCTGATCCTGAACTTGCCCTTCAAGCTGCTTTAAAAGTGTAAGTTGATTGGAAGTAAGTGCATCTTTGTTACCAAGACCTTTACGTATGCAAACTTGGTTCGCGTTTTTCCCCAATTCTAGTAAACTTGCATTCGTTCGTTGACAAACTTCCGATATCTAATTAACAAAAGGATATAGTTCTTCAAATTCCATAGACGATGCTGTTTTGAATATCTAGTAATATTGATAGAGAGGTTTTGAAGGTGAATTAGAATGTCCAATCCAAACGTAAGCTTATACTCAACAGTGGATCTGAAATAGTTGGATACAATTTCCTTAAGACTTTAGTTCTTCTGATTATGATGAGACCCATTCTGGGATTTGACCCGATTTGAGAATGGGTCAATCCATTTCAAGATTGTCACATATTTTCCGATGTTATCACATAAACTATGTAGTTTATTGGGTCAAAAGATTATTCTGATGTGACAATTCCGAACTGGTCAAATCTCAAAACGGGCACAATATTGTGACTAGAATTGGTGAATAAACAGTATTACGAATTTTACATCATTATCATTTAGCCAATATATTTACTAAGTCATATGTTACGATTGTTTATTGATTTCAACAGAAAAGAAGATGTTTCAGGAATAGATGTCAATTGTGGATGCCCCAAAAAGTTTTCCATTCAGGGAGGCATGGGTGCTGCCCTTTTGACAAATCCTGATAAGCTTAAAGCTATTTTAACAAACTTAGTTGAGAACTGTGGCCTTCCAGTTACTTGTAAAATTAGGATGCTAGAAACAACAGAAGAAACGATAAAGTTGTGTAAGATGATTGAAGCAACAGGCATCAAAGCACTTGCGATTCATTGTCGGTATGTAAGGTTGTGTTGATATTTCAAATCTTGCAATGAGTGTGAGCCAAATTTATGCGTTTTTTGCCAATAGAACAAAAAATGAACGCCCTAGTAACAAGGGACATTGGGAAATCTTTAAACCTATCGTTGAGAACGTGAAATCAATCCCTGTCATAGCAAACGGTGACATATTCGACAGACCAGATATGCAAAGAGTAAAGGAACTGTCAGGTAACACAGGAGATGCTGTGCTTATATTAATATTAAATAGATTAAGATTTCATAATTCATGATATTACAGCTGTTAGTTCAATAATGATTGCTCGGGGTGCACAGAGTAATGTATCCATATTTTGTAACGAAGGGCTGTTACCAAAAAGAGAGATTGCTATAATGTACATTAAAAAGGTGAGTACAGTTTCTTTCACTAGGGACTGAGGAATGACAGTTACAAATCACATTATTAATCTCGTATGTTTAGGCAATCAATGTTCACAATAACTACGCCAATACAAAATATACACTTATGCAAATGTATGCAGATGCTGTTAAGGACAATGAATATCATGCGTTAGTAAGGGCAAAGTCCTATGAAGATCTTTGTGAAATATACAACCTTTCAGAGTTATCTCCGATCAGTGAGAGATTAATGCATATATAAATCTGGGATGTTTGATTAGTTTCTCACAATTTCCTGCTTGTTAGTTAGGTTTATCGCACGTGTTATATAAGCCGTTAAATCTGCAAAATCCATACATATACTAATACTACATTTCATTATGTGGGTGGAATTACTTACCCATCTGGAAGATAGTTATATGACAGGCCGGTCAATTTGGATTATTTAATTAAACTTATTTGGAGTCGCTTTTAATTAGTATTAGTTAAATTGTCGCAATTGGTCGTTGCGCCCTACTATCTGTCCAGTCAGACAGTGACGTGGACATCTGCGAAGTTTAAGAAACAAGCTCACTGAGTCACTGACGGTAAGATATAAAGGCTGGTAAGCAAGAGTCAACAGATTGACAAATGTACAAAAATTAACACAGCTTGCCATATAAAATCAACAGCCTTCTCCATGATTAATACAAAAACAATGTTTTATGATTTTGTCCATAATCCACTAGAAATATTCACAAATTGTAAGGTTCGTTAGCATTTTTAGTAAAGCGTAAACAAATAAAGCAAATTACGCGAGTTACAAGATTATGGAACGGGATCCACCCAATGACATTTGAAATTATGGGAAAACTTATACATACATTTGAAAATGCTATTATCAATTCTATTATTACAAAGTAGATAGACATCGGAAAACCGATATATATGTCTACGAAGTTTACTCACGCAAAAATACTAATATTACGTGAGACAGAATGCTTTACAAAAAAGGTGAAGATTCTCGAGAGAAAAAAGTATATTGTACTTCGTCTAGTACTTCCCAGGTAAGTAAATTGAAGAAGTGTTCTTTTCAAGAAAGACATCTAAAATGCAAGCCAGAGAATTGCAAAAAAAAGTGTATACATTCTGGTTTAATGGTAATAATGAAGTGTCTCGTCTAGATTCCAGCATGGACGACCGTTGTGCGGATTAATTTAGCTAAGGTTAATAGGCTTCAAGTATGGAGAGCCCGTTCCAAAAGAATTGATAACGAGGTGGTTTAACGGTGGTAAGGCCGTAGACGACGCCTGCCGTGAAGAGTTTGGACTCGTGCTGGAGGAGATTAAAAACGAGAACAAGTATATTGATGAATTGAGACAAACGCCTCAGGTTAGGATCTGTATACTTAGAGTGTATGTCCATACATTATCCGAACTTGTATTAATATTTATAAATTCTCGTACTAACTAAATCAGGGCGCACTCAGCCTAGCAATTCTTCTCGATCAACTTCCTCGCAATGTTTATCGTAAGACCGCCATCCCATTCCGAGTATTCGACCCAATGGCGCGAGAAATAACCCGCTATGTCCTTGAGAATAAGTGGGACGAACAAGTAAATCATATCGAAAGAATCTTCTTTTACTTGGTAAGTGTAGATCACGCCGGCTAAGTTTCGCTTAACACAGCACGCTCACATTCTCGTTCTTCAAATATGTTACAGCCTCTTGAACATTCCGAAAACCTGCAAGATCAGGAACTCTGTTTGCAAAAGTCACTTGAAAACTGGAATTCAGCTCCTCCTGTATATCAAGGCATTTTGAAAGTAGATCATGACTTTGTTGTAGAACACTATGAGATAATCAAGCGTTTCGGTAGATTTCCTCATAGAAACTATGTGCTCGAGAGAGAATTCACACCGGAGGAAATTGAATACATGAAGAGCGGACCAAATACATTTGGCCAGTAAAAAGTTTTAACGGCTATTAATTTATTCAGGTATTTACAATCAATTAATATATCATACCAGTTAGTGTATGGTCTTAACACCAAGTATTATATGGTCATAAACATTTCTAAATTGTTCGAGGACCATGAAGGTGACTATTGTGTGTGGGGTAAGACGAGTGAATGCTGGCAGCCAACCTTTGAAAAGCGCTGCTGGGCCTTCTTTTTGGATAATCAGAACAAGACTGGCAGCGACCCCCTGATTGGCAAATTAAATTCAATACTACATGGATATAGCCAGAATTTTAATCGAGAGATTGAGTATTATACATACCTTCGTTGATCCAGCATCACTCATAACGCGGGTCTTAACGACGTCAAGTGGCGAACAGACCGTCGTCGCGACTAAACCCTACAAACCACCGTAAAAGCAGTCTTAAAACTAAATCCATTAGATAACACATTTTCTACAGTTTCACCTACCGCTAGTAAACTGGCACCAAAATGCGTTATGTAGTTATCTTTGAATAAACCCGTTCCCAATAGCAGTTCCTTAAACTTATCATATGTTGCCAACTGTGAGGCACTCATCAGAATGGCACGATTTATATTAGGCCCTATACCCCGGAAAAGTCCGCGGAATGTTTCTTCTCGTTGAATTCTAATAAGGCCATCAATGGCATGCTTATAATTATATCGCTCGTTCGGAGGACGCTTAGCGTCATTCTGCATGCGTACCATTACGACATCCGCAGGATTACCACACGCCCCGCCAAAGCTACCTGCTACTGCAGCACAGAGAAGCGACTCGAAGAATGAAAGTTTTTCTGAAGAATCAGAATGGGTAGAAAAATAAATGTGTAAGTAAAAAGATGCCGTGTCGTCTTCCTTTCTTTCCCTTTTTTCGTGTAAAAACCCGGTTCGATTCATTAGTACTACTACTATAGTCTTTTGGTTTCGATTGCTGTTTACTTTTAATCTCACATGTGCAGAAATCCTACCAAGTCTACGAGAAACGGTATAATCCAGTTTTATCTTTCCTTTGTGTCCTATTTAAAGCTTAATAAGCAGAACCCATAAAGGAAAGGCACAAATAACAACGAAGTCGTTTTAACTTGCTCAATCGCAAGTTTTTCATGCCCACGTTTTAAACAAGCGTATTTGGCTTCCAAAGAAGATGAATACAATAAGTTAAAAAAAGTTTCACTATGTTTTATAAAGTGCTATTTGGAGGACTATGTAGTCGTCAGATCATTGTTTTTCATGTATGGTGCGTTATTTACCTCTATCCTTCGAGAGTGCATATTTAAACTTGTCGTAAACACCAAAACGCGTAGTCGAATACGTCCCTTGCCGCAATAAACTAGCGGACAATCCCTTATATAATCCTCTTGGACCTTCTAACCGTATAATATTCTTGAATGTCTTAATCGCACTGTCTCTCTGAGCATTAGTAGTTTGGAGACGTACTTTTATCAAATCAAATGGATGGCTTACAGTCGCTGCTACTCCTGCTGCAGCACCTGAATGGAAGAATATCAGTAATGTTGAGGATCATCAAAACTTATGGTAAGGGAGGAAGAAGCCGGCAATAAGGAGAGAATTTATAACAAGGACTTACCACCAAACCAGAATGGATATGCCTTGGTGATAGGTTGCCTGGGAGGCACACTTTTTGCTCTTACCGTTGCGCTTCCCGAACTCATATCTGCATGTAAAAAAAAAGTTATCTGAATTCAATTTATCATAATGATACGATAATGATAATGTACTTCGTTAATCCAAACCTGTATGTACCACTTAGACCTTCATTTTTCGTATTAGTTCATGTGACTCTGCTGCACGTGTTTCTCGATATAAAGATTACACGTTTTATGAATTAATTGCAAATATGCAGATATTCTGTTACAATCAGAACAATCCGAAATAAAGTAAAAGAGACAATTCTTTATTCAGGTCCGTCTTTCGCAGGGTAAAGTGATTGTTAAAATAGTTAATATTAGTAATAAATATAAATGAATTAGACAAATAAGTTTCAGCCCAAAATACAAAGCTGTGTACAAGTGTTACACTGTAACACCCCGCTTTAAAAGTTACTCGTACGGAAAGACTTGCCAAATTCATTAAATAAAAGTTATCTAACTAGTGGATCTGACACTACACAGATTTTGACAGTGTTGCCATTGAATGACCTAATGGGTCCCTTTCTCTCGCTTTTGCGCTTGAAAGAGAAAGACAACGATAATTACGAAAAAATACTTTCAGAACTCGATGAACAGATAAGCAATTCAAAGGTTCGCCTATGTGACATAAAAATTCGCCAGAAGCGGTCGACAATCTTCTGGCTTGTATTTTCGACAGTGCTGTATATTGCCTACGTGAGTGGTTGGTACTTCTTTGGCTGGAAGAGTAAATATGACGAGACATGGCAATTGTGGCTTCTGAAACTATTCCCAGTATTCGCTTTTCCTTTTATAATATGGTTGGTTAAAAAATTCATGAGCATGTGGTATAGACGTAAAGAAGCCAACGAAAAGTCGCAATTGAAGCATCTTGTCGCAAGAAAGAAACTCAAAATTGAAGAATTGAAGAAAAAGACCGGATATTACGCGACGCAGAATTTAATTGAACGGTTTGATGTAAATAATTCACAGAAAAGTCTAGCCAAGTCGGTAAATTTTCCCGCTCTACCAAATGAATGGAATCAAAGCAATGATCATTTTACGGACGATAGTCAAGTGGTTGATACAGGATTGCGACTTCGTTTGTCTACATCAACCTCGGAAACAAAAGACGAGTCTTCTATGACGCCGTCTGCTTATTATAACGCAATACCTCCTTCAAACACTCCTCTCAAACGGACATGGTATGATCGAGTAATTGATCTGCTTGCTGGAGAGGAAGGTCAATATAAGAAATTTGCTCTGATATGTTCTAATTGTCATGCGCATAATGGACTTGTATCGCAGCAAGACCTCGACGACGTGCAGTATTTCTGCCCAAAGTGTGACCATTTTAATCCATCACGTCGAATCAAGAGAGATGAGACCAATGGTGCGGTCAATAGTAATAATAACACTAATGATGAGAATAATGGGGGTAGTAGTCGGAAGAAAGGTGCTAATAAACAGAGTGGAAATATGGGGTCACCTACTCCTCGGCGTGGTCGATCTACTACTCCTAGACCCACGACATCTTCCAACGAAATGATGAACAATGATATCACAACAGATGACTACGATGATGATGGAGTGGCAGTTAGTAAGCGACTGACTTCTCGCTCGACTAGTCGACGAAGAAGGGCGGGCAGTCGTAGTCAGAGCAGGCTTGAAGATAGTGAAGAGGAGGGTATGCGTCGATACGAGACCAGTGATGAAGAATACGTTAGTCGGAGAAGGATACATGAGTAATGGTAGTTGTATTGGTTTCTTGATTGATTAATTGAGTTTACCATACATAGTAATAGTGGATTTTGCAAACTTCTAATTATCTGTAAATTCAACTTTTTTTTTCTTTTGTATTCTGTTTTGGGAATGATATCAAGCGATAGACTTGCCATTAGATTCATGCGTCGAACATGAACATCAATTTAAATATTCAAATATTTGCAATCATCTTTATTGCCGTGCAAATATTCGGATCACATCAAAAGAATTGCCGATGGAAAATCCAAGCTATCTAATTCGTTGTAATAAAGAATTCTAACCGTTCATCACAATTCATTATCTATTCTCACATGATAGTAATTCGTTTCTTCAGCAAGTTCATTCAGACAAGACGTAACCTTCTTCATTTCATTTGCAGTCTTACAATCCTAAAATCAATAGAGATCAGCGCCAATCTAGTTCAATACCAAGTTATGATGTAACAAACATATACTCCATACCAATTCACTAATCCATAGTTCGTAGGCTAAGGCATATTTCTTTTGAAGAGATGCATTCGTTGTGTTCGCAGGCATAGCCAGGCGTTTCTTTTCCCCCAGTTCAATGCAATGATGTACGAAGGCAATTTCCCCCTCTTGGTCAGACCACGTACCTGTGACGCTGGCAGACTTGTTGTTATCCAACCTTTCTATCGGTTCATACGCGCTACTGTTGATATCATACCACCTACATGCAAATGACACAAATCTCAGATGACACCACAATGCCTCATGACCAGGATATGTCAGTATTAGGTCTCTAGTGAATAATACTTCATTGCGCCATAATTGTATAATCTCGTTACTATTTTTACTGGGAAGATAGACGCCATCATTTCTTCTATTCCATAAATCATTACGAGAGACACCACATAAATCGCGGCTCTCCTGGTTTTCCAACAGACGTCGCTGAGTCATTACGATCAGACATCTCTGTCGATATTGCATACCAGAGTAATCGGATACATTCATTCTAATCCATTGTTTCATATTCTGAAGCTCATTTTCTAATAAGATAAAGGAAACATGTGGTATCTTTGAGACTACCCAATGCCTATAACTCCATGCATAGTAGTTTTTTGGATATATTTCAGCTGCTCGTTGGGCAAGTGAGAGTTCATGCTTGTATTCCATTAGATAAGGATAGGATTGAAGGAGCCATTTTCTTATTACAGCATATACCTCATCAGTTCAACTTTAATCAGCAATGATCCAAAGAGTATAAAGTTTAGGCAGGTACCTGTGATACCATGCAACCGAGCTTTTTGAGTGTTTGGGAACGGTGAATATTAGGGCAAGGAGATTGAGCTCTTCCGATGGGTCTACAATACCTTGACTCACCAACACTTTTCTGGTCGAAATGTAATGTTAATAATGTCCGGTATTGCAAATCTTTTAAATATACTACTTAAACTACGAGTTAGGTATTAATACCTCGCATTTACGGCAGTATAACAGTCTGGGTTTATCAAAACTAGGCAGCGGCTAGCCTCGTCAATCATAGCTGCTTGTTTGTTTTCATCTAAATCATCTATGTTTTCTCAAAGTTAATATGTAAAGATTGTTTAAAAAGAAAGTAATAAATCTTTAAATCTTTGTTAAGGAATCACAGAAAAACTACCTCTCCGCCGTGTACTCATGAAGATCCCATGGGCATGTTGAAACAGTTTATTTACACAATCAACAGGTATTCCCAGCTTTGCTTTCTCATCAACGATCAATGGATAATTATCATCGTATGAAAGAGGAACGGGCAGAGAATAAGGAAGTATGCCTATTTCATCGCTGATATTAATCGAGAATTTGTGAATAGCTTTGTTGTGAGTAAGGGAGAGAGAATTATCAGATCGAATTACATGGCATAGTTCCTGAGAACTGTATTAAATTTTTCGTATATAGATTTCCCATCCATAAATTTTCAAAGTTCTTAGGAAATCATGATTAAATGAATGAATGAACATATGACGTTACAAATCGTGCGTGCATTGTGTCACAATACAAAATGAAGCCAAACGCGTAATAAATAGGCTTTCGGTTGGTGTGCAAATGACGTATTAATATTATCAGTATACAGTCGTTCATTTATTAATGCTCTTGCAACAGCTGTAGCGGATAAAGGACCCCACTAGATTATTGCCTTTCAATCAACCCAAGCATGACCCTTCCAGTGGTTTATGTAAAAGTGGTATATTGTTGACCAAATCATCAGCCGTAGTAGCCACGATAAGAGCATTTATTCTATTCATCGGACGTTCAACAAGCAAAGGTAATATCACGATAAAAGGATAGCTTTAATAGAGTTGCAGCTGCCGTGCTGCGGCAATCGTATCGTTCGTAGCAGCAAGAACACTTTTGTCGGACTAAACGATGTCACCTGAGTTCCACGTCTTACGTCTCATCAAGCTCATTCAAGAAATAGCGTTCGCACTTCGATGGAGTAACCACAAGAAAAGAGATTTACGTGAGCATCATTTCAAGATGTTCCTCAGATGACGAACCCTGGCAGTCAATTTTGCATGTTGACAGAACAGCAAATTATCTTTCTGAGCGGGACCGTTGGTAAATACACGTTCTTCGCGAAAGAAAGGCAATTTGCCGAGTGCAATTCCGGAGTCACGACCCTCATTGTTGTAAAAACTATTTTGTCGCTACCTCTTGTGACTTCTGACAACCTGCACCATTATTCTTTTCTCACGAAACTTGCAGCACGACCTCACCAGTTGTATACAATTGGCTCTCGATACAAGAAAGTAATTAGTGGGCCCAAATTCACTTTCATATATCAAAATATCAGATATCGAGGCCTCTTGTTACAAGACAGTCCTTATTAACGGGAATAAAACTTGACACATTAGATAATACTGAAATGACATGCCCTTTGAATAGAATACCGTCTACCGGAACGTCGTTGTTTGATTGGTTGATAAAAACGAGAATTAATATTGACGGTTTATCGCGTTCACGGTTGCGTAAGTTAACGACATTTATAATAACCACTGTAAACATGTTACAACATTACTCAACAGACAATAAACAAACACTTGGGTTATACTAACGTGTCTAATTAACTCGGTAGTAAAAACATTGCTGATAAAAACTCTTGGTTTACAATGAGTCCACCTTTTCTATTCTAACACTGTGTATCATTTTCGCTCGATAATGATGTCTAACATTTTATTTCCGATATTCATCAATCTTATTATTATGTTCATATATGTATATATATATTTTCCCTTATTTAACATATAAGCATATTCCCGACGACGAAGATAATATATCATCACTTATCATATAACACTGGTGAAAAATAAGAACTCAAGCACCAAAGGAAGCTTTATTTCTACTGCAAGAGGGGTGCTGAACGTATCATGAATAATATGTACATATTATTAATCCAAGTATATATATATTATGTAACCTATACAAATGTATTATGATTGTTAGCAGTGAAATTAGCACAGTCCATTAATAACTCCTTCGATGTCTTCATAAAACATATTATAAAATAGAAACTATATGAATACATGTGTCTTTTCACCTCTTATCAATAAAATAATACCAGCATACGAACTGCCAAGTAAAAGCATATAACGAATCAACGATCAACGTGAATGAAACAGCAGGATCACAAAAAAGATACTTGGGATACAGTTATTAGTGTTCATATTTACAATATCCTTCGATACGCCGTGCATACATCTATAGGGAAAGTGTTGCCAGGTATTAGTTACGAGCATAACCCAATCAACCACAAATAAACTCATTACTTACCCAACCATCAACTAACGCTGGCCATCATCCTAGCACGCTCAGGTATCTGCATACTGTATGCATATCTCGCCGGCGATGATGGTTCATATGTTCTAAACATTCTTTCATTCACCATTATTGGTTGTGGCAAACGTCCGCCACTAATGGTTGACATCAATGATAGGCTAGCAAACGACGGTAAAGCATGCTGACCGTTATATAAATTAGACGACTTTTTATCTGCAAACATCATGGGCAACTGTCCTCCGCAATTTCTAAAAGGTGAATTAAATATGCTGCTTTCATTCTCATCTTCACTCGATTGGGCTTCATTTGCATTAGGCGAGTACATGTTATCGATATTATCGCTGCTGCATCGATGTTTTATGTGTCTGTTGTCCAAGATAGGAGAGCACAAGCTAGGCGAAGGAGGAAAGTAGTCTGTTATCTGCATTTCCGGCGTCTGTGGCATTTCAGGTGTAGGCGGGCAACCTTGCGTTGGAAATGACAATTGAAAGCGTGTCGGGCTAGAGTCTGACGTAGAAGTCTTGTTTGTATGTGTTGGCGATGGAAGTACTGGGGAAATAAAGAACAAGTATATGTGATAAAGTAAGAGACAGTATTCATTGCGAAACGTATTGTAAAGTATGTATATGTAGAATCTATTTACCAGTTGGAAAATTCTTGATGGAGACATTATCAGTAGTTTTCGTGCAAAGGTGTATTTTTCCATCAGTCTCATGTGTGGAATTTGATTGCTTTAAGCTGTTCTTTTTTGCGCGAGCTTTCTGTGCCCATCTACATGTATTCCAAAAAGACGTGTTAGCGAGTTAACCGATGACGTTTATTTAACATCTATTCTATGGATATATTGTTACTGAATGCACGAATCACTTTATATTGTACCTTCGCTTAGATAACAACATTCTTTCTCGCCGTTCAGCATCAGACTTGGGTCTATTCGGATCATTATCCCAACGGGTTCCACGGGGAACGTCGACAGCATGTTTGTCTTTTAGATGTCTTCTCAGGATAGACCTCGCGTTTCGACCTTTATAACTTTTTTCGCATTCAGTACAGTTCCATACTTTTTCTTCTGATACTTGAGAATTGTTTAGCCGTGTCGGGAGCATTCGTGGTGGTGTTTGCTGATATGATTGTGGGGTATACATTTGCGAAACAAAAGTTTGCGAGTGTCTCTCCGTTAAACTCATAGGCTGCTGCTGACAATGTGCGTTGAATTGCTTTTGTTCAATAGACAACTTGTAGGGATTAAGGTTTAGATGTGCAAGCGAAGGTAAGATCGTATTGTTGCTTAGGGTAGTAGACATTGGTCAGCATACACTTTTACAGAAGTAACGTGTGTTAGGAAAATGTGTCGTCGGGAAACTTAGAAGTTATTCTAATACGTGAATGATAATATTATATGGTCCTGAAGTGAGAACAAGTCGAATGTTGTCTTAGAGAAAAGATGTGAACTCCACATTCTCGCGTCATTTATATTTACATTTTGATCACGAGCATTTAAAGATAGCCGACTTAATTTCTAACGCGTCTGTTTTGATTTTGAAAAATTTACTTTGGCGCGTTGGTATTTTAGTTACAAATATGTTAGTCGGTCAGTTATTATTGACCAAATTTGGTATAGAGACTGTGCACTAATACAGATTAGGACAATTGAGACAATGAACTCACAGAACTCTCGCACGTGTGCGTTGTACATTGCATTCACAATGTGAGAAGAATGTAAACAGTTTGTCCCAAAGTAGAACGCGATTGGCGTGGATGCATGTATGAACGTCTACGCGTTGTATTTAGGTTACGCGATTTGTTTGGTAGTTGGCAAGAATGTATGGTCGCGTAGATGTTCGCGAGTTACGCGATACTCTATTCTGACGTACGTTCCCATTCATGTCAAGTAATAATTAATTTTCCGAAGTCTTTATTGGACATACACGAATGATCCCTAATTTACCGTGCTTCTGCTACCTAATAAAGCCAAATCAATTATTGAACATACGTTCGAATATTGTAACCATCAACTAGAACGCATCAACCAGATATTCCGAAAAGCTCTAATAACTATGAAAAGAAGATTTCTCAGGGATAAAGCCGAGTATTGAGCTAAATCTCAAGGTCAGCATGTGTCACCACACGCTATCTGATCCAGATCCTTAACCGTCCTCCGACAAAAGAAATAGAAGAGCAATCAATAGTGTACAATTAAAATTAAAGAACATCCGTCACTGTTAGTATCATCGCTTTTGTCATTTATTAACTGACTCGTGCCTGATCGTTCACTGTCTATTCAAGATTCAGTTCAAAGGTGTTTTTACGCTCGTAATGATATTAGGGCCATCATTGGCTCATTATTTCGAAGCTATCCGTTCTCGCTAGTTGAACCGGACCTTAATTTCACATGTTAACATACTGTGTGAACGATTGACGCCGTAAAACTTTGCATTTAATAAATGTAAGGGGAGAATCGACGGAAGCATTGGAGCCATAGTCGAACGTCTGAATGGAAACTCACTACCGAGACTCTGCAGGACGTCTTTTTTTGGGCAAATTAACTGTACAACTTCTTCAATGCTACGGTAAAGTCTATCTGAAGATTGTATTCTTAGAACATAACTGACGATGAGTTTAACGCAAATGCATTCGAACAAACGTGACTTTAAAACTGCAACTTAACTCGTTTGCCAAATAAGAAACGGTAGTGAGATTATTTCTGGTCTAAACTCTTTCATTGGAACCCAATCTTTAATAATCTGTTATTTTACAACAGACTATACAATATTTTATTTGCTCAACGGCACGCTTTGCTTATATCATCCCGCAACTTCAAGTGAATTGCGTAGAAACGACAACTCCTGTAATATCGAAGAAAGTTCATTATATACATATATTTATACAGACTGCCTTTATATTAAACTAGATGATACAAGTTAACATGTTGATTCTCACATTAATGGTATATATTCATAATAATCAATCTCACGGCTCCAAACTGCTGAATCTCCTCCTGATGCTAACGTCTGCTTCAACATTAATCCTCTTGTCATCCAGTGACATCTTCTGCAGGAATTATCGTTTATCCTTGCGACTTTCGAGAAACCTCCGTTTTTTGATTTATTACATGTAACCATTTCCATCATAATGGCCATTCGCATAACCCGTTTGCACATATTGGTTTGTGGAGGGATTGCTTGTCCCAGGCGCATATGGTGGAGGGTACGATGGGAAATAATAATAGACGTTGGGATCATAGTAATATACCGTGCCGTTTGGGTCTGTATAATACGGCATTGGCACTGTCCCATCTTGTGGGTATGTAATTGGATGATGCTCATAAGAAGGCCCTTGATAATTAGGATGATCGGGTGTGTAGCTATCATTACCATCATTAGAGTCGTAAACTTCTGTGGTATTCTCGGTGTCAGCCGAATATTCGGACTCTGCAAGTGGCTCCGATTGGGTGGCCAAGGAGCGAGGTTGGAATGGTTTGGCAAATATTGCTGTACAATACAATCCTTATTAATAGATTATCCCATCAAAAGAGTTGATACTCGACTATACTCAAAGCAATAATAGAAAGAAAAATACTCACCGGACGCTGGAATAGACCCTTTGGTTTCTATTTTAGCTTGCGTATCCTTTTCAGAAGATGAAGATACCGGAATGGCGGTGGTGGTGGTGGTGGCAGTGGCAGTGGCTGCCCGACGCGTTGAGTATCGCTTGGACGCTGACTGTGCGGACTGTCCACGATCTGTCTCAATAACGGTCTTTTCTGATTGCGCAAGGACCTCATGCTTGGCAATTGGCACTTCAACAAGTTCCCCGGTCACTGGCAATGTTACACGTACTGTTGGTGTTTTATGAGAGTTACCCTCGCATTCAGCGTCCTTATCTGATAAATCTGATGACGGCGCTTGCGATCCATGAGTGGAATCTTGAAGACGTTGGACATAGTCATTTATACGGTCTTGAAGAGCATTATTTGGTGATTTTGGAAGTTCTAGTATTATCTCAATGTCAGAGGATTCTTGAGACTGTAGTAAATCGTCCTCTTCATTGTCCTCGACAGTATCATTCTCCGAAGGAGGCTGTACTGTAGTCCTATCAGTCGTCACAGGTTCCACATCTTTCGTTGTTTCAGTGTTAACAGATGGCTCAGGTTTAGAGGCCTTCGAGTCGTCATTAGCCTTTTCTGTTCGGTAAAAGTCTTTCTCGTCTTGATTATCAATACTATTATTGTCTTTCTCGTCTGCAGCTTTATCCTCAATCTCTGCTTTCCCAATAACTACTGTGTCTTCCCTTCCAACAGGAACTCGTTTAACGTCAGAGTTTAAGTCCCCATTATTTTGGAGTTTTTGACGATCAAAATTGATGGGACGTCTCACATAGTCCTGATGTTTCTTGAATTTTTGGTTGACATTGGCCGGATTTCGCCTTGCATTATAGTTATTAGGCGGCTGAGGATGTATGCGAGGTTCGCTCACAAATTTTGGCCTATTATTGTTGGCAAAACTTCTTGGTTGACCTCGATTATGATTGTGCATGCCAGGAGATCGACCTAAGTGATAATATTCAATAAGAGTTAGTCAAAATCGTCGTAACACAGGCTTCAGCAAGCAATAAACAACATGAGACAGACCATTGAAAGTTGATTCAACGGATTTTGGTGTTGGTTGCATGTGATTCGAGCATACACTATCGGACGGACGTGGAGGTTGACGACGAAATTCCTGGGATTTATGTGAAAAATGGCGCGTTGACTCGAACTGCGGTGGAAGCGATCTTCTGTTACCAAATGGTCCATGTGGTGGAGGACGAGGAAACTTTGATAAGAGATGATATTAGATCCTATATAATCGTCATCGATCCAATACTCGAGATATACCTGATTACGACCTCTGTTTATCGGTGGATACTTCTTTACTTCTTCGGCTTCCATTCTCATCAGTTCTTCAAACCCATCATGACCCCATTTTTCAGCCGGAGATGGGCCGTCGACATAATTCCAGCCGCCTTTGCCTCTGTTCAAGGGAAAAATGTTAGTACCTCTGAAAATATATATAAGTTTGTTATATTTTCATAACTGACTTTGATGCAAATGGAAGCTGGCTACGACGACGAAAAGAGTCATTCTTTAGACCATCGTCCATGAAGCGGTCATCATGGCCCCAGAATTCCCCAAGATGAGGTACAAACGCCGGATCCTCCGCCAGTTTCTTACGGTACTCCTGTCTTGCCTGAACTTTTTTTTCCCACGCTGTAGGAGTCCTTGATAGATCGTTATCTGTTATTTCCATTTCTTTCTGTACGTCTTTTTCTGAATGAATGTCTTCGGTTCCTGCCTCTTCTATATGCAAAAGATAACATCCTATTGAAATCAAATCCACATTCTTCGCTTCTTCCACCTACGTCATACTCATGATAAATAGTATACTACATGATAAATAACATACCGTCAATGTTAACTTCAGCGTGGGTCTCTTCCCCAACGTCTTTTGGTGACTCATGGCCAGATTTCTCTGGTGAATGCTCAGAGATACGTTCGGACGTTTCTTCTTCACCCTCACTTTGGGTTAATTCCGAGTCTGCGTCGTCCTCGTCGGATGACTGTGATATGTCGCTCAGAACAAGAAGTCCCTGAGCGATCGTTGTGTCTTCTTCGTCTTCGGAGTGGACATCGCCGTGCGGTTCCCTTCGCCGTAAGCGGGTTACTCTCGTCATTACAAAATTCTATTACTATTGTTATTCTTTTACTAATTATTTGCCGCTTAATACTTATGTATGCGAGACGACTAATTTCAGGGGTTAAGGTGGTAAGCCACAGCGGCAGCTGCACCAACGTGATAAGATAACGTTAAATTATTTATTATCAGCATTACTATGGAGTTAGATTTATTCAATTTCCCGACTTCCTCACACGTCATAGCTTATTTTTATTTCGTTCTACATTTATAGTAAATTTAATTTTCCGCATCTATGTTTCCAAATAACTCCTGGCGGCCTAAGAATTGTGTAATTTCCTTAATGCATGTTTGGTAGCGTGAAGTCGCTTCTTGGGCCGCATTATTTACACAATTTCTAATACTATCCTTTAAGCATTCTAATTTCTTTTGTAAGGCACGACCATTGTTTCAAATTTACGGGGATAGCTGAATGTTTTGGCAATATCGTATATGTTAAAATCACTGCCTCCAAGCCTTAATTGCAATAGTTTGTCGATTTATCTCTGCCAGATATTTACAGAGTAGAAGTAACAAAATAAAGTGTCACAAAAAATTCAAATTAAATTTTATGTCCTAGTCCAGTCGTGGATTAATATTGCATTTTTAATCATTTTTTAAGGCAACGTAATAGTTATTATTTTCGTAAGGGTAAGCATTGGACCTTGCTTCTCTCCATTATTTCTAACCATAATCAATACAGACTTTCAAACGCAAGCTTAATTCAATACTTGATATCATATTTTAAATAATGGATTACTTTTATTTTGTCTACTTTATATTCAACTGTTACTCATATAGTTGTTACTCGTTGGTTTGCCTAGCAACGTGCTGTAATTCTTTTGGCTTGTGTTGAATTATTTTGTTTTGTCTAAAGGATTTAGTTTCTCTTCGGTATCGATATCCAAATTTTCTATTCTTATTTCGTTGTAGGTGAGCAATTTCTGGCTTATTGTCGTTTATTTTATGCCACTCTTTAATTACTTAATTCACAAGATATTCGTTATAAATTCTGTTCTTGTAAATATCTCGCAAAGGTAACGTTGATCAGAATGCGGTACGGAAGGAGTTGGAAGTCTTAATTCAGTGACATACATAAAATCGAAATGTTAGATGACTCCTCAAAATTCCTTCCTCAAGTTTCCACATAACAAATTGGATGCTTAATCTTGTCCGCATACATTAGTATTAGGACTATTCGGTATTAGAGTCCAAACATATCACTGATTTCTTCACTCTGGCCTTTGATTAATTTCTTCTACTGTATACATGACCCAGCTAACGACTAAGCCTTTTTTTTCCCAGTGTAGATAATATTAGCTTTCTCATGTACTAGCTGTCCAAACACACTTTAGCAGTTGTCAAAATTTTTATAATATTAAGTGACTGATAAATAAACATTGACAAGTACACAGTGACTCGTTATAGCTATAATTATTGTGTAGGAACGTCGAGTATTTTTTTTCTTTTAATTAAATTAGCTTTATATAAAATCATTTGGACATAGTAGAAAAATATTCTTAATTGAGAGCGCTCGATACAGTGTAGTATAAAATAGATGCAGTGTGTTTCTAAAAAAACACGTGATTACAAAATATATAATTCTAGAACAAATAGCAAAATAATGACTCGTGTAAAGCTGAAGAGATGCAAATTCTATTATTGAATAAGCTAATTTAAATTAGCTTCTTTAATTTTTAAACAGGTTTACAGTTGCAGTAAGTTTAAAATTAAATCATAGTCTGTTCTAATCGAACTGACTCCTCAACCGTTATTGATTCCATCCAGCCAAACTTTTTCGCGTTTTGACGTTTCCATGCTTCATACTTGTGTCTACAAATTTTAACCGAGCACAAATAAATACATTGATATTCTGTTCATAGTTTGCAACGTAGGTATTTCAGAAAAACAAATTGGTTCGGACAACTTATTTTATCGTATCTCAAAATAATCTCAGTCTTTCAATGCAACTTATTCATAACACACGAAATAACAACTTAGAGAATTTATTCGATATAATGATTATCCAATTAACGCGACGCAAAGTTTTTATGGAGAAAAATAAAATGGATTATTCACAGGTGAGGGATCGAAATATATTCTGGTTGATAATAAGGAACAAACGAAATGAGGAAAGGTTCAAATAGCCGGAAAATAATGAAGAGTCTAAACGATGATCTCTTGCGGGTTGATTTTGTAACTGTGAGAACGTTAAACAGTTTATCATAATCACATGATATATTATTATTTTATGATTGATTTTTTTTTATCTCTACCATAAAGAGACTAATCGAGTTGATCACTTCACAAAAAAGGTAAATTCATTCTCAGTTACTGCATTCCTTATTTAGAGTGTTAATCGATTTAGGAGTAGGCTCTTCACACGGGGATTTCTTGTTGGCTTCCCATAAAAGAATGGCAAAGACTTTGAATAAACGTGAAAATCTTAAAAGTTATAGTTACTTGATGATGGCTCTGTAGTTACTATATTAATATTAATTTTGAATTAATTAAATCATGTGACATTAATTTTATGTCAAAACATGATTTCGGATTCCTGGAGTTATTATTATTTGTTGGTCGAAATTACCGGCCAAAGCGTGTCTGTCGGCCAGTTTGTCACAACAACGCGTCTTACTAAGAATGGACAAAAGACGCGTCACCGTAATAATGAGAAAAGGCGTATTCTTCATGTATCAGTAATTAAGACATCTCCCAGGTCAAATAGTCATGTCTTGCTTTGAGTGGTGAGTGTTGTCATCAGGGATTTTATAACGTGATTTTCTTTCCGCATTCGTGGCAAGCTCATCTTATGCTCAAGACATCCGTGCAGAATGGTTATTATTGTTGCTAATAATTAGCTTTTGAAGCGATGTCATTGTTTTAGGATTGGTAATTTACGGTTTAATACTAATACGCGATGCTACAAACTTTATCTGAGAGTCAAGGAACAGAATAGAATGACTTTCAACCAGCGTGTAACGAGTCAAGCATAATTATCCTAAAAATAATATCGGCACAAAGTCATCACTTGTTGATCTCCAAAGCGTTTATCTGTAAGTGACTTGTAATAGTAAGGATAGGCGGATTTACTATATTGTCCTACAAATTTATTTGTTTATAAATTAGCCAAAGAATTTTCAATAGAAACACCAAAAACTTTTTCTTGCTTCTCCCTTGTCGCAAGAGATTTATAGACCTCAATAATACCGCATTTAACAGACCCGCTTAATACCCTACTTAATTATTCTTGCTTGACTTTTGGTTCGATACTGTTCGGACACTCTTCACTATTTCGTTAGCACTTTTCCGCGTTGGGGAAGTGTGCTGTTCCTACAACACGGCGCCACCACTAAAACAAGTCGGTAAACTAATCGTATTTCGAGGACATCAGGTAAGTAAATATCAAAAAACTGTGGCGGTTGCGTTGCTGTGTGGCGGAGGCAATAGACCACACTCGTTACATACAACGAAACCCTATTCACTACAACTGAAATCGGGTAAAGCAAGATGCTTCATATATTCTAGAGCGTTGCCAGCATTCAGATACGCAGTGGCTGTAGTTTGAGCAGACAGAGCCTTTAGACTTTTACTGATAGTCAAAAATTTCTTAGTAGTTTAAAATATATACATGTCAATAATTAAACCCACACAGTCGACCTTCCCTACAGCCAACCAATTCAGGCTCATAATATATACTTCTTAACTCTGTGACTATGGGAATAGTAACTTCAAAATCTTCTAACAAAGTATATCGAACTGTATTGGCCTGGCTGTAACGGAGTTTTGACTGTGTTCGCGTTGATTAACGTCGTTTTGTGCGTCCTATAGTAATCTCTAACTTCCATTTTAGCGGTCGCCCCCCTGGCCCTGCTCCCTCGGTGTCGCCTGAACACCTTGTACCACCATCGTCTAATGTCAATTTCTACGACCTTGTTACCTCATCAATCGATGAAGGGCTTCTCAGGAACAGTATCCACATGTGGATCCGAACATCTTCGCTCAAATCTCTTCTGCGCGTCGAAATTCAATAGGGTTAATCTGCTTGATATCAGCAATTTACCCGTGAGCGAATTAATGAAACAACATATCACTTCGTTGAGAGTTAACGACGAATCTGATTTGGAAGCCGAGAATGCCTTTTTCGTTGCTGATTTGGGTGAAGTTTACCGTCAGCATCTGCGCTGGAAAGCTCGTTTACCACGTGTTGAACCGTTTTATGGTATGCAAGTCACCGAGTATATCAGTAATCAATGGTAATAATGTAGAATAGCTTAAATACGTGATAATGATATATAAATGCTTTTCTGGGAGTCTGAACGCTTTTTGTCTATGTACGTTGCAGCTGTTAAATGTAATCCGGACCCCGTAATGCTGAAACTCCTCGCTGCGCTGGGATTGGGGTTCGATTGCGCTAGTAAATCGGAAATACAGACTATCCTCAACATGGGTGTAGACCCGAGCAGGATTATCTACGCAAATCCATGCAAACAAGCATCATTCATCCGTTATGCGGCGCAGAAGGACGTCAAAATGATGACTTTCGATAATGTAGACGAACTGTATAAGATAAAACAGTATTTCCCAAGCGCACAATTAGTATTGAGAATACTAGCAGACGATTCTAAATCGTTGTGCAGGTTGGGTTTGAAGTTTGGGGCATCCTTGGATTCTGTTGATCAATTGTTGCAAACTGCACAAAATCTTGAGCTGGATGTCATTGGTGTCAGGTAAAATGATAATTAGTAATGTAATTAATAGATGGCAATTGTTGCAACTCCGGTCAATCTTATGATGTTCTATCCCAATCATAGCTTTCACGTAGGTAGTGGCTGCTATGACGAAGAAGTTTACGCAGATGCAATTTGGCGTGCGCGCGTCGTTTTCGACAAAGCATCATGCTACAACTTTAACTTCCGTTTCCTCGACGTTGGTGGCGGTTTCTCTCACTTGCATGATGGTAATGGTATTACGTTCGAAAAAATCGCCAACGTACTCGATGTAGCGTTGAAGAATTATTTCCCGGAAGATATACGCATTATTGCTGAGCCTGGAAGATATTATGCTGCGCCGGCCTATACTATTGCTACGCAAATTATTGCTAGAAGACTTGTTCTGAGAGACCAGGATGATAATGACGAAGGAACGAGAGAAGCTGATGTCGTGGACAGTGAACAGACGTTAGCGGAAGATGAACAGACGCTAGCGGGAGATGAACAGACGTTAGCGGGAGATGAACAGTCTTTCATGTGTGAGTGATAGTGTGACAAACGATTCGCTTTACATGCTGTTAATACAAAGACTGTGCTAATGTATGCTTGCTCTACTTGTTTTTAAGATTATATTAATGATGGTGTGTATGGAGCATTTAACTGCATCCTTTTTGATCATCAGATTGTTCATCCAAAAGTTCTTATTAAGGACGATATATTTTACTTTGATACTATCATGCCTGGCGAGCCCGAGTACTCGAGCAGTGTATGGGGTCCAACTTGCGATTCAATCGATTGTGTTAACAAGGATTCTAGGCTTCCTGAATTATTTCCAGGAGATTGGCTCTATTTTGAAGAGATGGGTGCATACACTATATCTGCAGCATCCCAGTTTAACGGGTTCATGAAAAGTAATGTACTTTATACATCTACAGAAAATAAGGTGTTTGAATATATTTGAATGCATTTCAGCATATGGACGACTGCTAGCCTGGGTCATGCAGGGGATGCCTTTTGGTTGTTATAGACTTCAATTGTGATAATAGCCGAAAAAACCGGATTATGCAAGTACGACCAAGAAGGATGCCTTCGATGGTTGTGCACGATTCATCAGTGCTTCAAAATATTAAATCTCATAACAATATTTCATTGGTGTCATTACTATTGCGTTCCTATATTTTGATAACCAGAAAGTCCCGATCAAATTCACCTACTTACATTAGTACAACATTTATCAATGTCTCAAGTCATCCTTGACAAGGTTCGTAGACACAATCAGCAGTTGCACAATTACAATTCTGGTGATGCATTTATTATTATGTTCATCGGATTAGCTGATGATAAAGGGTTTCAAAAGACAAAATACAAGTGTTGGCTCGTAATTTTCGGTCAACCATCGATTTCTCTCTACAACGTCGTTTATACTATTTTAATGCCAGGAATAGTTCTGGGGCTGTATCTCAAAAAGCAAATATTCCGCTGCTTGCTGTAATAATTCAATTAAAAGCTCATTACGTATTAAGTATGCATTCGCCAGCTAAAAAAAAAAGCTTGTGAGACCTCTTGGGCCATTTTAATTTCATAGCACGTGATTACGGGAAATATTTGAGAGAGAAAAGAACCTTTGGAAGAGCGGTGACCTTCCGACAATGGCGCTTGCCCCTCACTCTGCTGGTAGGCTGATATGAAAAGTTTAGTGAGTTGAGTGTGGACTTGATTAACTTCTGTAAAGGTCATAGATACGGCCTTGCTTCAGCCCCGCATGTGCTCGAAGCGTACCTGGACTATGTGGTATGTACAAGCATATGGAAATCCATTGCCGTCATAGTCCTTGTTATCTAATGCAAGTTTCCTTGCCATAGTGTCCGTTTTCTGCACGATTGTTCAAAAAGTTGCACGCGGTTAGTCAAGTCAGTCCGAATCATTTCTTCGTCTTCACGATAGGGAAATAACGTCCATTATCTTGCAGGAAATTTTTCCCTACATCAACCAGAAATACCCGGAGAAAGTTCAATTTATTTTTCGCCAACAAATTCAAGCCTGGCATCCTGCCTCCGCTATAGTTCATGAAGTAAGCACAGGTTTTCGATGTGGCTCCTTCCACTGTATTATTTATTTCAGTATGCTTGTTATTTAGGCTGCATTAGCTGTTGAAAAACTTAACCCGTCCAAATTTTACGAATTCTCTGCAGTACTGTACGAAAATCAGAAACAGTGAGTCAAACTTTTTTTTTGTTTTTATTTATAAGCGAATTGTTTGAATTGTAATCAATCTGATACTCTTGATCAGATATTTTGATGAAGTAACTTACACGCAAACTCGCGCGCAAATACACGAGTCTTTATCGAAACTCGCTGGTTCAGTCGGGGTCTCACCTGAGGAATTTCTTAAATTGCTTCGTGTTGGCGATGCTGACAATCCTCGCAATTATGGGAACGGGGTGACTGCCGAATTGAAATATCATATAAAGCTCGGGCGTCAGAATGGGGTTCATGTGAGTCCAACAGTGCTGTTTGACGGGGTGATTGTGCCCAACAACGACAGCGACGGATGGACTTACGAGCGTTTCAAAGAATGGCTTGATAAGATACTTACCAAAACGTGATGTCAAATTGTCGTAGTTTATGGATTTATAGTATCTTTATACACGTTCTGTGCATTCTTTAGTATTGGTAACTAAGTCAGTGGAAAAATATAATTGAGGCGACACAGCATTAAATTCTTATGATCTTTGGTCAGCATAAGGATAATTTAATATTTTGAGGACCTCGCCATTCCAAGATACCCTCATAATTGAAGCGACTTTCCTGTCTCACAGAGTAGAACTCGTTGGATGCATTCAGATTCAACATATTGTTCCTTTAGACGCGTAAAAATAACATCGTAAATTGAGCTGTTGTACCTGGAGTTGAGCCCAGATAAGCAACCCTTCTTCATAACCATAAATACATAAAAATTTGCGTGAGACTTAGTCATTATCACTATGGCCAAAAAACAAATCACAAACACAATTCTAGACATCAATGCACCCCAACCCCCCTCCCCACTCTTTCCTTCTGTCACTAGACTGGACTGGTTATTATTATAATGTTATCTTTTGGAAATGGTGTTCCAATTAATACTCAAACAAAACATCAAATTAAAAATTACCATTTTTTGAACATTTTCTTCATTTTCACTGATGTCATGTCCAGATTCATGGTGATCTTGATATATATGTTTAACTATTGTTCTGTTTGTATGGAATTCCTGATATAGATAGAGGCATTAGTATTATTAAGATCACTGCAATGGTTTCTCCTAAGTTTACTTGAAACTCACCTCCATACTCCAGTGCCTTTACTGTACATATACAGCCCCCTCCAAAAAATGACCGGGTAACACAAAATTTTGTAAATCATACGTCAAATTCACACACATGTAAACGCAAATTTTACTAATGTAACTGTACTTCATGCACTAAGTAAAGTTGCTCGCAATA